CAGCCAGCAGGGGGTAGTAAAACAGCCAGCGGGGGGTAAAACAGCCAGTGGGGGTAATACAGCCAGTGGGGGGGTAATACTGCCAGCGGGGGTAATACAGCCAGCGGGGGGTAATACAGCCAGCAGGGGGTAGTAAAACAGCCAGTGGGGGGTAATACTGCCAGCGGGGGGTAATTCAGCCAGTGGGGGGTAATACAGCCAGCAGGGGTTAGTAAAACAGCCAGTGGGGGGTAAAACAGCCAGCAGGGGGGATAATACAGCCAGTGGGGGGGGTCATACTGCCAGCGGGGGGTAATACAGCCAGCGGGGGGTAATACAGCCAGCAGGGGGTAGTAAAACAGCCAGTGGGGGGTAATACTGCCAGCGGGGGGTAATTCAGCCAGTGGGGGGTAATACAGCCAGCAGGGGTTAGTAAAACAGCCAGTGGGGGGTAAAACAGCCAGTGGGGGGTAATACAGCCAGTGGGGGGGGTAATACTGCCAGCGGGGGGTAATACAGCCAGCAGGGGGTAGTAAAACAGCCAGCAGGGGGGATAATACAGCCAGTGGGGGGGTGGGGGGGTAATACTGCCAGCGGGGGGTAATACAGCCAGCGGGGGTAATACTGCCAGCGGGGGGTAATACAGCCAGCGGGGGGTAATACAGCCAGCGGGGGGTAATACAGCCAGCAGGGGGTAGTAAAACAGCCAGCAGGGGGGATAATTCAGCCAGCCGGGGGTAATACAGCCAGCGGGGGGTAATACTGCCAGTGGGGGGTAGTAAAACAGCCAGCAGGGGGGTAATACTGCCAGTGGGGGGTAATACTGCCAGTGGGGGGGTTGGATAAGACGTACCTGTGGAGCTCCGTAGATGTAGAGCACCAGCGGCTCATTTTCAGGGATGACCAACCACGCCTTCTGCCAGCCCCGCCCCCCTCCTTTCTCCATGTGGTGAAGAAAACTACAAATCACACTGTTCTCTGCAGCCAGGGAGGCCTGTTTCTATGGCAACAAAGAGAGACGAAGACAGCGTCAGTTTCTGCAAGACGACAGACGATCTTCATCATCACCATCATCATTGTCACACTGACCTCCAGGATGGAGCGCCTCCTGTGGGTGCTGCTGGTCAGCGTGGTTGGCGTGGGCGACACTCCCACCAGCATGGCGTAGCAGTCGACACAAACGCGGTTGGTCCGGTTGTTGTCATACGACAGACGAGCGCGAAACTCTGAACATTTCCCACAAACCACCTGGAGTCAACAAGGACAGCTGATCACAAAGCTGCTGCTGACAGTGACTGTAGAGACGGAGGTTAATGCTGATATCTAATATAATCTGTAATATAATCTGTAATATAATCTGTACTGCAGTCTCATTCTGATGGAATTTGAATTGTTGAATGAAACAGAACATTGGATTATGTTGCTGATTTCAGAATGTAACTGGTATTTACAGCAGAGTGGGTTCAGTCTGTCAACTGCATTATTATAAATAATACATATTTGGAGCCAGGGAGGGTTGGAGATTACTGACACTGTACCCGCCACTGAGGAGATATCCCAGCAATCCGTGTTTTCACTGCTTTAAAAGACCGAACACAGTTAGAATGACACTTTTATGATTTTATGAAAGATTATATTATAGATTATATTAGATATTATGTTACAGATTATATTAGATATTATATTACAGATTATATTATAATTTATATTAGATATTATATTACAGATCATATTATAGATTAATTAGATATTATATTATAGATTAATTAGATATTATATTACAGATTATATTAGATATTATGTTACAGATTATATTAGATATTATATTACAGATTATATTAGATATTATTTTACAGATTATATTACAGATTATATAAGAGATTATATTAGATATTATGTTACAGATTAAATTAGATATTATATTACAGATTATATTATAAATTATATTACAGATTTTATTACAGATTATATTAGATATTATATTATAGATTATATTACAGATTAAATTATAGATTATATTACATATTATATAAGAGATTATATTAGATATTATGTTACAGATTAAATTAGATATTATATTACAGATTATATTATAAATTATATTAGATATTATATAACAGATTATATTAGATATTATATTAAAGATTATATTACAGATTATATTAGAGATATAGTATAGATTATATTACAGATTATATTACAGATTATATTATAATTATATTATAGATTATAATAGATATTATATTACAGATTATATTATAAATTATATTAGATATTATATTACAGATCATATTATAGATTAATTAGATATTATTTTATAGATTATATTACAGATTATATTAGAGATATAGTATAGATTATATTACAGATTATATTAGAGATTATATTATAGATTATAATAGATATTATATTACAGATTATATTATAAATTATATTAGATATTATATTACAGATCATATTACAGATTATATTATAGATTATATTACAGATTATATTAGATATTATGTTACAGATTATATTATAGATTATATTACAGATTATATTACAGATTATATTATAGATTATATTACAGATTATATAGTAGATTAATTAGATATTATATTACAGATTATATTAGATATTATATTATAGATTTTATTACAGATTATATTAGAGATTATATTACAGATTATACTACACATTATACTACAGATTATACTATAGATTATAATACATATTATACTATAGATTATATTACAGATTATATTATAGATTATATTACAGATTATATTATAGATTATATTACAGATTACAGATTATATTCCAGGTATGAATGTTGATGAACGTACGTGTCCACAGGCTTTACAGTGATGCCGTCTCTTGGTGATGGAGTTGAACGGCTCCTGACACTTCATACACAGAGTGACCTCTTTCTCTCTGATGGGAGTCGGCGCTCTCTTTCCCAACTCCACACAGCTCTGAGATACAGACAGACAGACAAAGAGTTATACCTGACCTTTTCTGAAGGCCTACTGTCCACAGCTGTCTTCTATAACAGCGCGGGGATACACTGGTGAACAACTGGAAGTCAGTTTATCTGCTGCAGGAGGCAAACGTTATTCTGACACAGTGATCACATGCAGCTCGTCTGCTGTGATTCTGTCCTCATTTTTCCGACCTGCTGAAGATAAACAGCTGACAAAAACCCGAGAGAAGCTCCGGAAACCTGAAAACATCCCGTCAGGAAAGTTTACCGGGGAGTGAGGCGGTGTGGACTCGTCATCTCGTAGTGAGCAGTTCAGATGTCTGAAGCTTTCCACCGTCTGCTCGTGTCTCTGGATGGTCGCCTGGATGGCCTGATGACACACACACACACACGCACAGACACACGCACACACACACACACACACACACACACACACACACACACACAGATACACACAGACACACACACACACACACACACACACACACACACACACACACACACACACACACACACACACACAGATACACATATACACACAGACAGACACACACACACACACACACACACACACACACACACACACACAGATACACACATACACACAGACACACATACAGAGAAACTGATTTGGTGCCATATTTTGGTATGTGCACAATATAACAGCGATTTGATCTTTGGCCTTTGTCATTAAGTGAACAGCAAAAAGAGCAGTGAGTCCAGTACAAAGACTGTGTGTTGTACCTGTATCCAGTCCTTCTTCTCCTCCTCCGTCCTACAGAGACACAATCACATAGAAGACCAGTCACAAAACAACATGTCTGTGGGAGGACGGGTATCAGTAACAGGCACCTTAAATACTGGAATACACTGCTGTGTCTCTCTGTGTCTGTGCCTCTCTGTGTCTCTCTCTGTCTCTCTGTGTCTCTCTGTTTCTCTCTGTGTCTGTGTCTCTCTGTGTCTCTCTGTTTCTCTCTGTGTCTGTGTCTCTATGTGTCTGTGTCTCTCTGTGTCTCTCTGTTTCTCTCTGTGTCTGTGTCTCTCTGTGTCTCTCTGTTTCTCTCTGTGTCTGTGTCTCTCTGTGTCTCTCTGTTTCTCTCTGTGTCTGTGTCTCTCTGTGTCTGTGTCTCTCTGTGTCTCTCTGTTTCTCTCTGTGTCTGTGTCTCTCTGTGTCTCTCTGTTTCTCTCTGTGTCTGTGTCTCTCTGTGTCTGTGCCTCTCTGTGTCTCTCTGTGTCTGTGTCTATCTGTGTCTGTGTCTCTCTGTGTCTGTGTCTCTCCGTGTCTCTCTGTGTCTGTGTCTCTCTGTGTCTCTCTGTGTCTGTGTCTCTCTGTGTCTCTCTGTGTCTCTCTGTGTCTGTCTGTGTCTGTGTCTCTCTGTGTCTGTACCTGGCCTGCAGTTCCAGGGATCTCTGTTTTCCAGACACGAGGAACGTCCTGGATACTGCAACACTGCTGGTCTCCTTTAGCTTGACAGAGAGAGACAGGTAGTAGGCAGTTAGAGACAGGTTTACAGACAGGTGGAACGACAGACAGGTGAACAGACAGGTGAACAGGTTTATTCAGATTCAGTAGCAGATGGTGGATTAGTGCAGTTGATCAGCTGATGATGTCTCACCTCCATACCGTCCACATCAATGCGAGCACGGACGCCGTACTTCTGACCAATCAGACGCAGCTTCGGGACGCAGTAAAGCAACCTGTCATTAAACTGCAGAGAGAGACAGAGGTCAGATATTACTGCTTCATCAACAAGACAGTAGAGACAGTAGGGACAGTAGACTACAGGTGGTGACAGAAGAGTAAAGATGGAGACAGTAGAGTACAGGTGGAGACAGTAGGGACAGTGAGGTACAGGTGGAGACAGTAGAGTAAAGATGGAGACAGTGGAGTACAGGTAGAGACAGGAGAGAAAGTAGATTAAAGATGGAGTCAGTAGAGTAAAGATGGAGACAGTAGAGTACAGGTGGAGAAAGTAGAGGAAAGATGGAGACAGTAGCATACAGGTGGAGACAGCAGAGACAGTAGAGACAGTAGAGTACAGGAGGAGACAGAGTAAAGATATAGACAGTAGAGTACAGGTGGAGACAGTAGAGGAAAGATGGAGACAGTAGCATACAGGTGGAGACAGTAGAGACAGTAGAGACAGTAGAGTACAGGAGGAGACAGAGTAAAGATATAGACAGTAGAGTACAGGTGGAGACAGTAGAGTACAGGAGAAGACAGAGTAAAGATATAGACAGTAGAGTACAGGTGGAGACAGTAGAGACAGTAGAGTACAGATGGAGACAGTAGAGACAGTAGAGTACAGGAGGAGACAGAGTAAAGATATAGACAGTAGAGTACAGGTGGAGACAGTAGAGTACAGGAGAAGACAGAGTAAAGATATAGACAGTAGAGTACAGGTGGAGACAGTAGAGACAGTAGAGTACAGATGGAGACAGTAGAGACAGTAGAGTACAGGTGGAGACAGTAGAGACAGTAGAGTACAGGTGGAGACAGTAGAGACAGTAGAGTACAGGTAGAGACAGTAGAGACAGTAGAGTACAGGAGGAGACAGGTAAAGATATAGACAGTAGAGTACAGGTGGAGACAGTAGAGTACAGGAGAAGACAGAGTAAAGATATAGACAGTAGAGTACAGGTGGAGACAGTAGAGACAGTAGAGTACAGATGGAGACAGTAGAGACAGTAGAGTACAGGTGGAGACAGTAGAGACAGTAGAGTACAGGTGGAGACAGTAGAGACAGTAGAGTACAGGTAGAGACAGTAGAGACAGTAGAGTACAGATGGAGATAGTAGAATACAGGTGGAGACAGTAGAGACAGTAGAGTACAGATGGAGACAGTAGAGACAGTAGAGTACAGATGGAGACAGTAGAGTACAGGTGGAGACAGTAGAGACAGTAGAGTACAGGTGGAGACAGTAGAGTACAGATGGAGACGGTAGAGTACAGGTGGAGACAGTAGAGACAGTAGAGTACAGGTGGAGACAGTAGAGTACAGGTGGAGACAGTAGAGACAGTAGAGTACAGGTAGAGACAGTAGAGACAGTAGAGTACAGATGGAGATAGTAGAGTACAGGTGGAGACAGTAGAGACAGTAGAGTACAGGTAGAGACAGTAGAGACAGTGGAGTACAGATGGAGACAGTAGAGACAGTAGAGACAGTAGAGTACAGATGGAGACAGTAGAGACAGTAGAGTACAGATGGAGACAGTAGAGTACAGGTGGTGACAGTAGAGACAGTAGAGTACAGGTAGAGACAGTAGAGACAGTGGAGTACAGATGGAGACAGCAGAGACAGTAGAGACAGTAGAGTACAGGTAGAGACAGCAGAGACAGTAGAGTACAGATGGAGACAGTAGAGTACAGGTGGAGACAGTAGAGACAGTAGAGTACAGGTAGAGACAGCAGAGACAGTGGAGTACAGATGGAGACAGTAGAGTACAGGTGGAGACAGTAGAGACAGTAGAGTACAGGTAGAGACAGCAGAGACAGTGGAGTACAGATGGAGACAGTAGAGACAGTAGAGTACAGATGGAGACAGTAGAGTACAGGTGGAGACAGTAGAGACAGTAGAGTACAGGTGGAGACAGTACCAGTATGAGGTATCTGTCCTGTGTGGTCCCGTTCTTGTTGGACAGTTTCAGGATGTGTCCCTCTTTAATGAGCTCGTTAGTCGGGTTAACAATGTCTTCTTCTCCTCCCAACAGCTCGTACACCTTCAACAACTTCCTCATTCGCTCCTGAAGGACACAGAAACACACAGGTGTGAATGTGTGTGTGTGTGTGTGTGTGTGTGTGTGTGTGTGTTACAGTGTGTGTGTGTTACAGTGTGTGTGTGTGTGTGTGTGTTACAGTGTGTGTGTGTGTGTGTGTGTGTTACAGTGTGTGTGTGTGTGTTACAGTGTGTGTGTGTGTGTGTGTGTGTTACAGTGTGTGTGTGTGTGTGTGTGTGTGAATGTGTGTGTGTGTGTGTGTGTTACAGTGTGTGTGTGTTACAGTGTGTGTGTGTGTGTGTGTTTGTGTGTGTGTTACAGTGTGTGTGTGTGTGTGTGTTACAGTGTGTGTGTGTGTGTGTGTGTGTTACAGTGTCTTACCATCTTCCTGATGGCGGCGTTGGAGTGTTCCGCCGCTGTGGCGATCAGCTCCAGAGACTCTGCAGAGAGACGATTTTATTTACAGTATTTTCTTTTCTAGAATTGTGTTTGTTTGTTGTTGTTGTTAAATTATTAGCACAGTGTTCAGCACTTCACTACTGGGGGGCAGCTTGTCAGGATGTGGCTCAATGGGAGAATGTTAACGTTAAATCGTTCATTTAATCAAGTTGTACATAAACACGAGACTGTAAAGGCAGAACACTGAGCAGATATGTAAATTTATGTCGGAGAACAAAACGTTGAAATCTCTGCAGCATTCAGACTCATTCTGTCCCTGATCAGCTGCCAGAGTCCCACAACCAAGACTGGACTTCTAAGGGCAGTAGTGCAGGGACAGGGGACGGGGACAGGGGACGGGGACGGGGGGGGCAGTAGTAGGCTGCTGCCTGCTGGGGCTCAATAATCATTAATGACCCTCTGACCCTCTGACCCTCTGACTCTCTGACCCTCCAGACGCCATAATCCAGCTCAGGGACGTTAGTGTGTGTTTGTTTTGCGTACTCTGGGCGTCCCTGTGGTCCGGGGCATCCTCAGGCAGTCGGTGCAGATAATCTTTGAGCAGCAGCTCGTAGCGAGGAATCCTCTGAACCGGCTCCAACATATGATGCTGCAGAGTCAGGTTACCGCAGCGTTCCTCCCTCTGCACAACAACAACAACAACAACAACAACAACGTTAACACACAAACAGACGGCGAGTGGACACCTGCAGCAGCATCACTCATTCTGGACCTGGATCTCCTGGATGATGGTCTTAAACTGAGCCGATCTCTCCATCCAGATGTTCACCAGCTCCATGGCTCGGTCGAAGTTCTTCACATACTCGCCATACATCTTCAGGAAGGGAGCCAGCTTCTGCAGGATGTCCCCAATCCGCGGGTTTGAGTCCCTGCAGACAAAAGGAGGAGTGAAGTCAAAGCAACCCTGGAGGAGGAGAACCAGCAGGAGGAGAAGAGGAGGGGAAGAGGAGGAGAAGGGCAGGAGAAACATCCTCACCACTCCTCCATACGTTTCTGCAGCGCGGGCAGCAGGAACTGCTGGTGGAAGCAGTAGATGGAGCAGATGTTGGAAAAGATTCCCTGAACAACGTCACAGGGGAAGGAGGAGCGAGAGCGTGCCTCCTCCAGGAGCCGGGCGCAGAAAACCTGCAGGAGGAGAAGTTCACAGCATCAGTTCTGCAGCGTAAATACTGCAAGGTTTCCATGGTAATGGGTAGCAGCAGGTGACTCACCTGGTCCAGGAGGTGGAGCTTAGAGACGTAGGCGGTCTCTGTGTGCAGCAGCTCGTTGGCGATGTTGAAGACCCTCTGCTGGACAGACATCTTGACAGAGACGAATTAAACAACTATTATCTATGAATTATTATAAATTTATTATTTATTTGCAGCAGTTGCCGATTGTTTGTTACGATGTAAAATGGAGTCTGGTCTTTATTATAGAACAATAGTTTAAAATGTTATTGTGTGTCCTGTGACCTCCGCACTGGAGGTGGCGCTGTTTTCTCTAGACCTGTCTCACCTCAGCAGAGTCCTGTCTGTCAGTCTTGGGGGGGGGCAGCACCAGCGTCAGCTCCGCCTCCTCCTCCTCCAGGTCGCTGTCTCCCTCCTCTGAGAAATCCCTCCTCCTCCTCCTAACTCCGCTGCGCGCCTCCCCCTCCTCCCCCTCGCCCTCTCCTCCCTCCCCCGCGTAGGAAGACGAGCTTGAGAGGCGGGGCAGGAGGGCGGGGCTGCAGGGGTAAGCCACGCCTCCATCGTCCACACCGGCGAAGCAGAGCTCCTCGCTGTGCGACGGAGAGCTGATGCTGTCGATGCCGCTGTCCCGATTGGCCAGCTTCCCGTCCGTCTGCGAGGAGGGGAGGGACAGACGCTCGGAGGGGTGCTCAGACTGGTCGAGCGGCGCCGGCTGCAGCTGCTGCTCCCTCATCTCCACGGCAACCACGTCGTCCTCCAGGTGTTTCTCTGAGGCGCTGTAACCCGACTCCATGGAGAGACGCTTCTGATGGAGGTCGTCACGACACGCCGCCACCAGCTCTTCATCATCATCATCATCATCATCATCATCATTATCTTCATTATCATGGTCGTCCTGCAGGTCTCCCTCCTCCCCTCCACCCCCCACTGTGATGTCATCACCTTTAGGCTCACACAGCGGGTCCTCCTCAGGCGGGGGAGGGGCGGGCGATGATGAAGATGGTGGTGATGAAGGTTGGGAGGAGGCGGGCTCAGGGAGGCGGGGACACAGAGCCCCCCCAGTGATGTCAGGAACCACGATGATCTGCTCGCTGCACAAACGCAAACACATGATTAATAACGCCCTCATCGATGACATCAGTCCTGCTCCGACCAATCACAACTCACCGCTCAAACTTCTCGATGAGAGACAGGACACAGGTGGGGGAGGCGGTGCCATCGGCACGGGAGGGCGGAGTCCGGCCTCCCCGGGGGTCCGACGGCAGGGGTCTGCAGGGCGGCGGAGGGGGGAGGGGCTTGTCCGGAGCACGGGGGCGTGGCCTTGTCACCCCCGCCTGCTGCTGGAGGTGGGGGGGCTTCGGGGGGACTGCGGGATCATAAACTCATTAACCTCTTTAAATAAAACAAATGTAAAGATTGAAGTTTAAATAAAGTTTGTTACCCTGCGGCTTCGGGCCGGGCAGCGGCGGTCTGCTCTTGCCCGGTGGTGTAAACGTGGTAGCTGGCAGCTCCGGTGGCCCCGTATCAATAACCAGTGGCAGCTCCTGGCGCTCCGTTCGCTCTTCCCCTCCCTCTGGGAAGGCTGGGCCCGATGAGGAGGAGCTGGGCCCCGGGTCAGAGCTCGGCTGCTGGGGGGAGTCGTCGTCCAGCGCCTCCTGGTGGCCGCACGGCGAGCAGGACGGCTCTAAAGAGAGACTCTTCGTCAGCAAGCTGGGACTGGAGGTGGAGGAGGGACCTGGGGGTGGCAGGGGGAAAGGTCAGGGTTGGACAAAAGCCACGCCCCCACACCACCAAAATAAAAGCATAAAACACTTTTTTAAGAAGGATTTATTTTTAAATAAACATCTGCCTCATTGTCAGGCGTATCTGAATGTGATATGATAGAAAGCTCCAGAACAGTGACTAAATGGAAGGTGAGTGTTGAGTACAATGTTTTACATTAGAAATGTACAGATGCTAATTTTCATATGTTGGACAATTAGCATTATTAGCATTAATAATCAGCTATATGGAGAATATTTCAGCTCCCAGTGGGCTGACTGTGTGTTGGTGCAATACAAATAAAACTGAACTGAAATTTAATTAATCAACTTAAAAACTTGTGTTGCTACCAATTATTAAGTAGGTGGTTTGATGTAGAGGAAAGACTACTTCCACTAACTCAGTGTAGCACATTTGTTCAACATATAAGACATATATATATATATATATTATATAGTGCTGTCAGTTAAACGCGTTATTAACGGCGTTAACACAAACCCATTTTAACGGCTTAAATTTTTTTATCACAAGATTAATGTTCTTTTTGGCCTAGCACACTTTGTAGTTTTTTCCACATGCTGTTGCAACAACTAGTAACGTTAGAAAAACTACAACGCCACACCGGATCTAGCTAGACCAGAAACAGAACAACAGGCACGCCGCACACACTTCTTTAAGAGTAGTAGACGTTACGTTTTGAGTGGATGGCGAGCGCGAGATGCCGAAATGGATGCCAATAATATTCTGAATGGAAAGTTTACTTTTAAAAAGTTGTCAAATGGTTCCAAAGTGACCAAAGTGATCTGTGTGTTTTGTCGTTGTGAACTGAGCTATCATCGCAGCACGTCCAGTCTGAAATACCACTTGATGGCCAAACACACAGCTGATGCGAATTCTCCGCCCCCTCGTCAAAGCCAGGCGACAATGGATGATTTTTCAATACAAACAACATCTGCACAAAGCAAGCCGATCCACTTTTCCATGTTGATAAGAGCATTAAAATGAGAAAAAATAATGGGACAAAAAGAAATCAAGGGACATTTAGAATAGATAAAAATGTGCGATTAATTGCGATTAAATATTTTAATCGTTTGACAGCACTAATATTATATTATATATATATATATATTATAAGTTAATGTTCAGTCTCCTTGCTGGTTGTTATGACACAATCATTACTGCTGTTTCTGTTAGTGTTTAACAGTAAATAACTAATAGCATTACTGACACTTTTTAGTAAGTAGTTACACTACTGGGGAAAGTAATATTAGGACTGTAATATTGTTAATGCCTTACTGCTCAACACTGGTGTGTTAGTCATAAAGTAATATAATTACTTTTGAGAGAAGAAACTAGAAAGTGTAACTAATTCCCACATTTCCATAACCACAATGTGATCAGGGACTCACTGACAATCTGAAACATGGTCTCCATCGACTGGAGAGAGAACGAATTACTGAAACTGTTCCTTTAATAAATCCAACCTGCTGCAGCAGAGACTGCCTCTACCGAACAGAACCAAACAGGACAGAGCTGGCGTTTATTATTACGCAGACACAGAATGAGTATTAATGCAGAACATAAACTGTGTTAGAACAAAGATCTTCTATCGGTCTGTTCAGAGCCGAAGACTCACTGACAGACTATCTGCTGGACTAACCCACAGACCTAAATATAAAGGAAGTTCTAGTTATTCTGTAAGATGTTCCACTCGTCACTGCAGAGGTTCTAGTGGACCTCTAGCAGATTTTCGGGGTTCTTTCAGTGGTTGTAGAGACAAACTGAAGGCTGGAGATAGAACAACACCTCATTGAAACACTGCATGTTCTTCATCCATCTGCGCAATAGTTAGAGAACCTAAAGGACTAGTTATTATTTGAGATGTTCCACATTCTAGTGGGCCTTAACACAGTAGTCATTTTGGACTATATGAAAAAAAATTGACTAACTTCACCTAAAGTAGTTGTAGAGGTGCATCATGAGGTTCTACTGCTCATTCAGGGGGTTCTTTTTAGGTGGTTCTAGTCACCCTTAAGGGAGCTGTAGTGGTCATTAAGGAGATTACAGGGGTCCTGGTGAAGGGTTTAGTAGTCAGGAGATTCTAGAGGTTCTTAGTCAAGGTTCTAGTTCTAGTGTCATTGAGAAGGTTCCAGAGGAACTTAGTGGTTGTTTAGGAGGTCACAGTGGTCACTGATGGGGTTCTAGTGGACCTTCAGCAGATTTTGGTAGCTGAACACCTGTCGGATGTTGGAGTGATGACATTTTGGAAGATGTTGTTTATCCGTCCAACACAGTGGAGAACTGGAGGTGGAACAAAACTTCAATAAAACACTGCATGTTGGAGTTCTTCATCCATGTGTGCATTATTTAGAGAACCTGAACGAGGTTCTAGTGTTTTTTATTCTGAGAACAGAAGGTTGTATGTTGTATAGATTGTAAACCAAGTTCGTGATTTTGGGTTATATAATTAAAATTAACTAACTTCAATTAAAGTAGCTGTAGTGGTGCTTTTGGAGGTTCTCGTGAGGTTCTAGTGCCTTTTAGGTGGTTCTATACTCTTAAGGGAGCTGTAGTGGTCATTACAGAGGTTATACGGCTCCTGGAGAAGGGTTTAGTAATTAGGAGGTTCTAGAGGAATTTATTGGTTGTTTACGAGGTTGTAGTAATCATTGAGAAGGTTCTAGAGGTTCCTAGTAATGGTTTAGGAGGTTTTGGTGGACCTTGATGAGGTTCTAGGGGTCATAGGGGAAGTTCTATGTGCTTTTTAGGTGGCTCAACCTTAAGGGAGCTGTAGTGGTCACTTAGAGGATTACACAGTTCCTGGAGAAGGGTTTAGTAGTTAGGAGGTTCTAAAGGAACTTAGTGGTTGTTTAGGGGGTTAGTGGTCACTGTGGAGGTTCTAGAGGTACTTAAGAGTTTCTAGTGGGCCTTTAGCAGATTTTAGGGGTTATTTTGGTAGTTGAAGATCTGGTAGCTGTGGGAGGAACAACGTTTTGTAAGATTGTTGTTCATCTATCCAACATGGTGAACTGGAGGTTTGTGCATTATTTAGAAAACCTAAAGGACGTTCTAGTGTTTATTATTGAGGGTCTGAATTTTTTATCAATGCTTTATGAGGACCTATTGTTCATTTATGAGGTTCTAGAAGTCATCGTATTTAATGTTTGTTTAGGTGGTTCTGGTGGTCACTGCGGAGGCACCAAGAGTGCTTTACCAGGTTCTAGTCGTCACTGATGAGGTTCTATGTGCCTTAGGTGGTTCTAGTCACCTTCAAGTAGCTGTGATGGTCATTAGGAGTTTAATTCAATTCAATTTTCAATTCAATTTTATTTGTATAGCGCCAATTCATAACAGAAGTTATCTCAGGACACTTTTCAAATAGAGCAGGTCTAGACCGAACTCTTTAACATTAATTACAGAGACCCAACAGTACCACCATGAGCAAGCACTTGGCGACAAGGGCAAGGAAAAACTGCCTGTTAAAAGGCAGAAACCTAGGGCAGATCCTCCGGCTCTAGGTGGGTGGTCGTCTGTCTACAGAGGTCCTGGTAGGGTTTAGTAGTCTGGAGGTTCTGGGGGTCCTGTAAGTGGTTCAAGGTCCTTTAGAAGATTGTAATAGTCACTGAGGAGGTTGTACAGGCCCTATAGTGACGAAGGTTTAGGTGGTCTTCATGGTCACAAGGACGTTCTGGAGGTTATTAAAGTGGTTCTACTAATCGTTGGTTACTGGGTTCTGTTATGTGGTTCCAGTGGGCCTAAAGCAGATTTTAAGGGTCTTTTAGGTGCTGATTTGTATTTGGATACACAATCTGGATCTTTGGTCTCAGGCCAGGCCTCCAGATGTGGTCTGAAGGATTTGATTTCTTCCTTATCCAGATCAGATATCAGATACAGGAGACAGACCAGGTCTAGGTTCTGTATGTGATCCTCAGAGACCTTCATCTTTACCAGCAGTTTAAGGGTTAACGTTGGAGCACTGGTACATCCATCTTTATGAGGACCAGGGTTCAGACTCTGATGATGATGATGATGATGTTTGAGGGGAACCAGTCTGTAAACGAGGTTCCTTACAAACACACAAACACAAGGCCGTATGTGTGTGTGTGGAGGGGGCGTGTCCCTCTGTCTGTCCGCACACATTCATAATAATTACTGACACAACATCATCCAATCAGCATCCAAGTTTACGATCAATGGATTAGAGTCAATCAATAACACGCACGCATGCACGCACGCAAGCAGCCTCCGGACTGGATGGTGTGATTGTGTGTGTGACACTGACAGCACGCAGTATTGATCAGCTGATCGATCCCTGATTAGGATGGAGAGGATTCAGCAGACACATCTGGCAGACGCAGTCTCATGCAGCCATACTACCCTACATCCACTGCGGCGAGATGTCGGTCAGTGTGTGCGCGTGCGCGACAGCCTGTGTGAGCGCGCGTATGTCACCCCACCACCCCCCCCCCACCACGACCATCCACACCATCCGGATTCCTGCCGGTATTAATATTCTCTACAGTGATCAATAAGAGGAAGATGTGGTGTGATGAGACTGCAGCTGTGCGCGCGCTGCTCTGCGTGTGCGCGCGCTGAGCAGGTATATGTGTGTGTGTGTGTGTGTGTGTGTGTGTGTGTGTGTGTGTGCGGTGCAGATGCGGTGCAGACTCACCCCTGCTCAGGCTGCTTCTGTCCATGTACATCGCGCAGCAAAACACAAATCCGGTCATTAAAGAGGGTGAGGGTGCGGGGAGAGAGCGGCTCTCCCGGTCCAGCACGGAGAAGAAACCGGGTCACACACACGTACACACACACACACACACACCGGCACCGACCGGACCGGAGCGGAACAGACCCACTGACACACACACCGACGGTCCGGACCGGCTGACAGACCGACCGACAGGCTGCAGCTTCAGGACGGTAAGTAGGTTAGATCCGCTCGGTTTGGTTCAGAGCGCTGCCCGGTGTGTGAGCGGCGGGCGGCGGTAGAGAGCTCCCCCCTCTCTCTCTCCGTCTCTCTCTCTCTCTCTCTCTCCGTCTCTCTCTCTATCTGTCTCTCTCCGTCTCTCTCCCTCTTTTAATTCGTTGTCAAGGAAACCAAAATGGAGGAGAGACAGAGCAAGACAGAGGGGGGGGCAGTGGTGACAGTGGGTGTGTAAATATGATCACATGTTACCTACAGGCAGACAGAACATACACACTGTATATGAATTATTAATACTGATACTGATCAATCACCTGATTGATTGATGCTGTCTGTCCAGGAAGTTTCCTGAAAAGAACAATTTTTAGGCTTCTTCTATATATATCTATATATCTATATATCTATATATATATATATCTATATATAGATATATATATTTAGACTGACAAACAGGTCTTGGCCAACCAACCAGACATAGTGGTGGTAGACAAGGAGCAGAAGAAAGCGGTGGTGATAGATGTGGCCATGCCAGCAGACGCCAACATCAGAAAGAAGGAACACGAAAAGGTTGAAAAGTACCAAGGGCTGAAAGAACCGCTGGAGCAGATGTGGAAGGTCAAGGCGAGCGTAATCCCCGTGGTAGTAGGAGCACTCGGGGCAGTGACCCCCAAACTGGGGGAGTGGCTCCAACAGATCCCAGGAACAACATCAGAAGCCTCAGTCCAGAAGAGCGCAGTCCTAGGAACAGCTCGATACTGCACAGAACCCTCAAACTCCCAGGCCTCTGGTAGAGGACCCGAGCTTGAGGATGACACACAGATACCACCCCAAGAGGGTGAGAGGGAAGTTTTTATTTTATTTATTTTTTTTATATAGATGTATAAATATATTTATATTAGTGCTGTCAAACGATTAAAATATTTAATCGCGATTAATCGCATTAATGTCATAGTTAACTCGCAATTAATCGCACATTTGTATCTATTCTAAATGTCCCTTGATTTCTTTTTGTCCCATTTTTTTTCTAATTTTAATGCTCTTATCAACATGTTTTTATTGAAAACAACATTGGCATATACTGTAGTGTTCAATTTCACACTAACATTCTCACTTGGAGCAAATAATCTCTCACACAATGTAACACTGTCCATCAATAAAAGGGTAAAGGTACTTTGTCACACAAACAGCCCCTTCAACAGTCCTTTCTAAGGGATCAAAACAGGGCGATACAAAATAAAATTACAAAGTGCACATGTAAGGTAAACTAGGACTCAGCCTATAGTGCAGTTAAACCATGGCTTAATACTTTTCTCAAGTTTGCTTTGAACATAGCAGTCAGGCTGCTGCTCTTTATTCACCAGAGGCTCAACCCAGCCTCTTATTTCAGAAAGAATGAACAGTAACGGTTACCAATAAAAGGAAAGCCTACTACTTCTTTGCTTTCAGCCAGTTACTAAAACAGACAAGCCTGTTGACATTTTCAGACAACAAGGAATTCATCCATTTCGGCGTCTCGCGCTCGCCATCCACTCAAAACGTAACGTCTACTACTCTTAAACAAGTGTGTGTGGCGTGCCTGTTGTTCTGTTTCCATTCTAGCTAGATCCGGTGTGGTGTTGTAGTTTTTTCTAACGTTACTAGTTGTTGCAACAGCATGTGGAAAAAACTACAAAGTGTGCTAGGCGTTAATCTCGCGATAAAAAAATTGACGCCGTTAAAATGGGTTTGCGTTAACGCCGTTAATAACGCGTTAAACTGACGGCACTAATATATAGATATATATATATAAAGATATAAATATACATCTATATAAATATATTTTATATATAGATGTATAAATATATATATAGATATATATATATTTATATACATTCCCTCCAGAAAAACACGATTATGCGATTGCATAATTCAATGCATAATCAGCCAAAGTCCGCATATTTATGTGGGGGCCGCATTTTTCCAAATACCGCGCACTTTCGCCGCATTAATTGCAGATTTCCGCGCAAAATACGCGGGGCTTGCATGATTTCAGAATCCCCGCATTTTTGTTGCAAAAAAGGTCACATATATCTTATCAGAAAGTTGAAAAATGTTGCGTTTACTTCACACAAGAGCAGCCATTTTCCCCTGTTGCCATGGGAACGTTATGAAGTGACGTAATTACGCGACGTGAACGTCATCAAAAAGCTGCAAACCCCGAGATGAAGCCGCAGTTTTTGCAAGTTCCCGCAATTTCATCGCATAAAATTGCATAAATATCCCGCATATTTCATCGCATTTTTTAAGAAAACGTGCCGCATAATCAAGGATTTTTGTCCGCAACAATCACAAAAAAACTCAGCCACACAGATAACAGGCTAACTGATTGTGACACCTAACTGTCTATAGGACAGGTCAGGACCAGGACTGATACTGCAGAACACCTTAGACAAGCCCCGCCCCCTCACTCTCTGAATGAAACAATAACCTTTAATCTGTCTCTGCTCTAAATAAAGAGATTTACCTCCAGTTTCCCCTCAGAGCCGACCATCTGCTGCTCATGTGACCCATCGGGACAACAGAGACTGCTGAGCTTTAACATGTGGCAGCAGGACACCAACGTAGATTTATATTTATATGTATATATATATATATATATATATCAATAAATATATATGCTCACTAACCTTTATTTCCACAGCAGACTCTCACTCAGCACTCTGTGAACTTAAATCTACAATCTGTAATATTCCCTCATTAAACAGTGTATAAAGTGTATACAGTGTGTCCTATATGGAGCTGAGTCAGTCAATAATCAATAATCAGAAGCTGTCATACACTGACTGTTTACCATCCACTGTTTAGATCTTGGTGCTTTTTAACTCTAGATTTGAACCGGATGAAGGATTTTAGTCATCGGACGTCTGGATCTTAAGTTATCAGAGAAACAAGCTGAGCTAACGTTAGCAGCAGCTCGGCTCGCAGCCCCTCCGGGACGTCCTTTGTCTGTCCAACAGCGTGGGAGAAGCAGTGATTGTTAAGGTGGAACTGCTTTATTCAGTGTGTTTAAGGTGGAACTGCTTTATTCAGTGTGTTTAAGGTGGAACTGCTTTATTCAGTGTGTTTAGTGGTTTTAATCAGCGGCTCTGTTTGTGTTGGAGAGGAGGAATCCTAACCGGGAGAAGCTGACTGCAATGACGCCAATGGTGGTGAAGACAACAACTCCCATGATCCCACGCTGCTGTTTTTGAGAGAGCTTTTAAGTTGTTGTCAATGAAAATCAACATTTATTAAATAAAAGATGTTCCTGAAGAGACTGCTGCTTATCAGGCCCTGTAGCAAAACAAGCGCTCCTGTTCAGAAGACAGCAGAGATACAAAGTTTATCTAACTCCACCCCACAGATGGGTCACGACATGACAAACAAAAACAAACACACCCCTGTTATGGATCAAAACAAGCAACCCCCCAGGTCTTCAATCTAACACACCCCCACCAGTCAGTGTTACATAAAACAAACACACCCCACTCACACTCAGTCAGGGCTGTAGAGCAACAGATCAAACACACCCTCCAGTTACTGAGCTGTCAGTTAAACTCCACCCAGCTCTCTGTCCCTGAGACTGGATAACAAACGCACCCCAACACTTCCACACATCTGAGTGAAGGACAAACACACCCTGTTATCATCTGGCAGGGGAGGAGATAAAACTACAGGCTGACCTCTGACCTCTGACCTCACACAGCTGCCCTCCCCCCACAGCAACAGTGAGCGACCCAGTGACCCACAGAGAGAGAGGCTCGCTCGCCCATCCCCCCAGGATATCACTGAATCAGTCGTCTATTTTTAACCTTCAGCCCTTCATTCATATCTGCCTGTCCCGCTGCTGCACGGCATGCTGGGAGGACAGGGTGGGGGGCTGCGAGACACTTCACTTGCTCACACCGTGTCCAAACCCACATGTGATCAGTTAAAACAGCAGCACGGCTCCACTAATAACATTATTGATCCAGTTCTCCGGTCCTGGACCAGGTCTTCATAGAACAACAATGTATCCATCTGCCCGACTGTTCAAAACAAATAGTTCCAGCAGTAACTCCCTCTAAATACATCAGAAATCAGTTGGACAGAACCAGGCTAGCAGTTTCCCCCTGTTTCAAGTCAGTTGGCTAGCAGAACGCTATCGTTAGCTTTGTACCACTACATCATCATCAGTTAGTATCATGGATCATGTTAGCTGGGGAAGCTAACGTTAGCCAGCTAACAGCACAATCAGACAATATGTTCCACTAGCTTAGCATTAATGTTAGCTTTGACTTTGGACTCTGTGTTGGACTCTGTGTTGGACTCTGTGTTGTGGACTCTGTGTTGGACTCTGTGTTGTGGACTCTGTGTGACTCTGTGTTGTGGACTCTGTGTTGGACTCTGTGTTGTGGACTCTGTGTTGTGGACTCTGTGTTGGACTCTGTGTTGTGGACTCTGTGTTGGACTCTGTGTTGTGGACTCTGTGTTGGACCCTGTGTTGGACCCTGTGTTGGACTCTGTGTTGTGGACTCTGTGTTGGACTCTGTGTTGTGGACTCTGTGTTGGACTCTGTGTTGTGGACAATCCACAGGCAGCAGAGGAACAAAGCTACACTACAACCCATTCACTCTCTGCTCACACACACTGACTCACACTGACTCACACACACACTGACACACACACACACACTGACACACACACACACACTGACACACATACACACACACACACACACACACACACACACATCAGTGTTTGTATCTCGGCCTCTCAGTGGTGATATGATGTCATATCCTGTCTCACTGATCCATCCTCTACACGGACTCATAAAGAACAATATGTTTCAGTAAAAACAATTTCTAATCAATACTCTGCCCTCTGAAGGCAAACTGAGTTACAGCAGTGAGTGCAGTTATATATCTGTTTATATATATAAAAAAAAAACTTCCCTCTCACCCTCTTGGGGTGGTATCTGTGTGTCATCCTCAAGCTCGGGTCCTCTACCAGAGGCCTGGGAGTTTGAGGGTTCTGTGCAGTATCTTAGCTGTTGCTAGGACTGCGCTCTTCTGGACTGAGGCTTCTGATGTTGTTCCTGGGATCTGTTGGAGCCACTCCACCAATTTGGGGGACACTGCCCCGAGTGCTCCTACTACCACGGGGATTACGCTCGCCTTGATCTTCCACATCTGCTCCAGCTGTTCTTTCAACCCTTGGTACTTTTCAACCTTTTCGTGTTCCTTCTTTCTGATGTTGGCGTCTGCTGGTATGGCCAGATCTATCACCACCGCTTTCTTCTGCTCCTTGTCTACCACCACTATGTCTGGTTGGTTGGCCAGGACCTGTTTGTCAGTCTGGAAGCTGAAGTCCCACAGCACCTTGGCCCTGTTGTTCTCAGCCACCTTGTGTGGTGTGGCCCATTGGGATTTGGGTACTTCTATTCCATACTGGGTACAGATGTTTCTGTACACTATTCCAGCCACTTGGTTGTGTCTCTCCATGTACGCTGACCTGGCTAGCATCTTACACCCTGCTCCTATGTGCTGGACTGTCTCAGGGGCATCTTTGCATAGTCTGCACCTTGGGTCAGATCTACTCTTGTAGATCTTGGCCTCTATGGCTCTTGTACCTAGGGCCTGTTCTTGTGCTGCAATGATCAGTGCCTCTGCGCTGTCTCTGAGTCCAGCCTTTTCCAGCCATTGGTAGGTCTTCTCGATATCAGCCACTTCTTCAATTTGGCGGTGGTACGTGCCATGTAGGGGCTTCTCCCTCCAGGTTGTCTGCTCCTCTTCTTCCTCTTGCACTCTTATCAGGTTTCTGTTGCCTGAGACATTCACTTAGCAGTTCATCCTTTGTGGCCATTTTTCTGATGTACTCTTGGATTTTTGATGTTTCATCCTGGATAGCGGCCTTGATGCTCACTAGTCCTCGGTCTCCCTCTTTACGCTTAGCGTACAGTCTCAGGGTGCTGGATTTGGGGTGAAACCCTCTGTGCATGGTGAGGAGCTTTCTTGTCTTGATATCTGTGGCTTCTATCTCCTCCTTTGGCCAGCTTATGATCCCAGCAGGGTATCTGATGACTGGTAGTGCGTACATGTTGATGGCTTGGATCTTGTTCCTGCCATTCAGCTGACTTTTCAGGACCTGCCTTACTCTCTGGAGGTATTTGGTTGTGGTTGACTTCCTTGCAGCTTCCTCATGGTTTCCATTAGCCTGTGGGATACCAAGGTACTTGTAGCTGTTTTGGGTCAACCCCTTCAGTTCTGATCATCTTGCCTGTCTTTGAGACCATCCGGCCACACTTGTCCAATCTGAATGACATCTCTATGTCGTTGCTGTAGATCCTGGTGGTGTGGATCAGTGAGTCGATTTCTCGCTCATTCCTGGCATACAGCTTGATGTCATCCATGTGGAGCAGGTGGCTAATTGTTGCTCCACTTTGGAATTGGTACCCGTAACCACTCTTTGTGATGATCTGACTGTATGGTCTTGGCCACCATGCTGCAGCTCAGTTTCAGGGTGTTGGTAATCTTCTTATAGCCTAGGCCATGTTTATGTAGAGCAACAATTCTTTTATTCAGATCCTCAAAGAGTTCTTTGCCATGAGGTGCCATGTTGAACTTCCAGTGAGCAGTATGAGAGACTGTGAAAGCGATAACACCAAAATTTAATACACCTGCTCCCCATTCACACCTCAGACCTTGTAACAATAACGAGTCACATGACACCGGGGAGGGAAAATGGCTAATTGGGCCCAATTTGGACATTTTCACTTAGGGGTGTGCTCACTTTTGTTGCCAGCGGTTTAGACATTAATGGCTGTGTTGAGTTATTTTGAGGGGACATTAATTTACACTGTTATACAAGCTGTACACTGACGACTGTCATTTCTTCAGTGTTGTCCCATCAAAAGATATAATGAAATATTTGCAGAAATATGAGGGGTGTACTCACTTTTGTGAGATACTGTATATGTTTATATATCTGTTTATATAGATATGTTTATATATCTGTTTATATATATGTATGTGTATATTTATATCTGTTTATATATATATTTATATATGTATGTTTATATATATCCGTTTATATATATGTTTATATATGTATGTTTGTATTTATATGTTTATATATGTATGTTTATATTTATATCTGTTTATATATATGTTAATATATGTATGTTTATATTTATATCTGTTTATATATATGTTAATATATGAATGTTTATATATATTTAAATAAACTAAACTTTTAGTTTAGTAACTTTTATATATATATATATATGCCGTTAATTTACATTATTAATCAGTCAGTGACTATATCCTGTTCTTCAGCCGCTACTGGCTGCTATTTGAGCTAATAATTATTATTCTAACGATATCCAGTCTGTAAATTGGGACGTCAGTTTACAAGAGTCCTCCGGAGTCTTCTGGAGTCCTCAGAGTCCTCCAGAGTCCTCAGAGTCTTCTGGAGTCCTCAGAGTCTTCTAGAGTCCTCCAGAGTCCTCCAATCACTTCAAAGAAAATACGTAATCTGAGCACAGCTAACTGTTGGCTCCTCTTCACAAACACAACAAGCTCTGTTTTTCTGATTCTTCCATCAGGCTGTCTGTGCCCGGGACCGACTCTCAGACCCCCTGAGCCTGATCCACATCCTGTGTCCAGCCCCAGGGAGCTCAAGCGGCCCAGCAGGGTTCTGTCTCACATCCTCAACCCCTGGTACTCGGCTAGAGAACCAGAGAGAGAGAGGGACACTGTGGAGTTACTCTGAACTCTCAGTTCATCAGTGAGGTGGATTTGCAGACAGTCTCTGTATTGATCCGTGTTAAGTAGTTTATTAAAGACTATTCTGAACTGCTGTGGGTCACATCTGTCACCTGTGTGCAGGTGCACCCCCAACGGGGACTTATAGTGTCTTCCCGGACTAACGAGGACGGTTGTGGTGCTTTATCATTGTTGCTGCTGCTCTACAATGGACTGTATGTTCAGTTTATTTCATATTGATTTGATTGAACAGTAACTGTAAACAGTGAACACAATAACTGCAGGAAGTTTGTAGAAAACCAGAGATTGGATTATTGATCAGAGATGAGTGATAATAACATGTTCAGATCGTCCTCACTGATACAGGCGTACTGTGAGTACTTTAAAAGTTATCTTACGTCTCTTAAAATCAAGAAGGCCTTGTGACCCCCCAGGAAGCTTTGGCGACCCCTAGAAGCTGCAGGGGACTCACCTGTCCAGCGGGTGGAGCTGCTGTGCGGTGTGGAGGAGGTGCTCAGGTGGTAGGAGAACCTCATGGTGCTGAACTGACTGGAGAAGGAGGGAGGAGGAGGGGGGGGGGGGGGAGGAGGAGGGAGGCTGAACCTGAGCAGGGTACTGCGAGGTCGGTTCAGCTGCATCCCGACTCCTGCACAGGTACGTCAGCGCACACCTGGACGCAGGTTTCACTTCATCTTTTCTAAGTGAGACACTTATTTTGAAGGTTGCTCACTTCCTCTTTGTACAGTTCATCAGCAGGTCAAACTTTACAGAAATCTCTCAGCATCACTCTTCTTCTGTGGTTTAAAGAATAACCTCCCCCTCTCTTCCAGCTTCTTCAGCAACCGTCTCCTCTCCATCTCCTCCCCCTCCTCATGCGTCTCCTCACACAACTCGGCCCTCCATCGCACCATCAATCAGCACAACTCGTGATCCTTCAGCAATAAAGACTTCAGATCAGCTGCTCACTGCTCCGAGGTCAGATCACAGAGAGAATGTGCAGACTCAGCTCCAGTTCAGAACTCCCTTTACTTTTCCTTCAACTTTACAGATTCCTCCTGCTGCTCCTCCAGAGGAACTTCCTCCACATTCTTCTTTCATTCCAGTTTGTCCAGGCAGACAGACAGACAGACAGACAGACAGACAGACAGAGAGAGAGAGAGAGAGAAACAGACGGTCTGTCTTTCTGCACTTTCAGGCTTTTGTGCGAAAGTCGGATCGGAGCTGCAGACCGACACCACAGCTCCTCCTCCAGCAGCCAGACATCTGATCCCAGAGCAGCGCTCTCTCTCTCTCTCTCTCTCTCTCTCTTTGTCTCTGTCTCTGTCTCTCTCTCTCCCCCTCTGTGTCTCTCTCTCCCCCTCTGTCGCAGTAACTGTAATATCGATATATTTGCTGTTATTGATTAAATCAGGACATTTCAGTTGCAACTATTTGAATTCTATATATTTACTAATGAACTGCACAGCACCCTCTGCTGGTTGAAACCGGCTGTTACAGTTGAGTTTCTCCATTGGCTGATCTGCAGTCAGGTGACGTCACCAACTGACCCCTGCTGCTATAAAACCAACGTCTACAGCTGCTACATAGCCGTTAGCCACAGACACCTGAGAGTTAGCCTCTGAGCTGCTAGCTTAGCTAACGTTAGAACAGTCAGTCATTGGAAGAAACATCGGTTTAAAATCTGTTTTATTAAGATTCAGACAGATTCAACAGTTTAAAAGACAAACAGAGACCAGGATGTGGTCTGAGGGTCAGTGGGACCAGGACGTGGTCTGAGGGTCAGTGGGTCTCTGATCTTCGGCTCCTCAGGCTGTAACGAGGCTGACCAATCAGGAGAGAGGAGCAGAGGTCAGAGGTCAAATCTGTTCAACATTACAGTCCTTCAGATCTCAGTGGTTACTATGGCAACAGTGTGTAAAATGCTGCTGTGTCACTGTGGACCAATCAGACGGCTGATTTCTGTGACGTCAGTGAGGATGAGGAATCACTGATCTGAATGTAAACAGCAGGATTAATAAAGTTTATTTAAATGAGCTGAACGGTTCCACTTCCTGTTTTTGTTGTTTGTTTAAACTGAACAACTTTATTTTAATGACACTGATGGACAGCCGCCACAGCGTCTGCAGCCCATTACTAAATGATTACGCATTTCTACATATTACAGTCGATTACATATTTATGTTTTATTCATTATTGTGTTAAACAGGTGTCATTGAGTGTTTACAACCTGAGTTCCTGTGATTCAGGATCACGGGGACGGCGGACTCCGCCACTGACCAACTGCTCTACACTGAATGTGTGTGTCAGTGAATAATAAGAGTTCATTAGTGTAAATACATTGAAGCTTTAGAAAGGGTGTCGCTCCCGGTGGGAACGGTTGGTTGGTTCGCTCCGGTTGAACAGAACTTTAAAAACATCTGTTTAGATCAAAATAATCAATCAGATCAGATACCCGTTTGTCCTCCACCAGGATGCTGTAGACCAAAGGAGAGGAGGAGCGACGAGGACGCCTGCCTGGACTCCTCACTGAGCCATTGTGGGTAGTGGGGCTCCTCACTGAGGCATTGTGGGTTATAGCTGGCAGCAGGGTGATGTCACTGTTGACTGTACTGCTGAGAATACGGTCAGTACTCCAACCTACACAGACAGACAGACTTTCACTACATGGCCAACAGTCAGTGGACACAGGTAAGACAGGTACTGACCAATGTGTGAGAAGTGAGACACGTGTGAGCTGTCTGCAGTCAGAGGCACCAACGTGCTGCTGCCCTCCTCCTCCTCCTCCTCCTCCTCCTCCTCCTCCTCCTCCTCCTCCCCCCCTCCCCCCTCCTCCTCCCTGAGCTCCTCTGGAAGACATCTGATTGGTCAGATGACATCACAGGAAGTAACTTTCTCTGTGATATCACATGAAGTTCATGTACTCACCTTCACATCCAGGTGAAGCTCCGCCTCCTTCTGTCGCTCTGCTAATCCCTCTGCAGACAGACACACACACACACACACACACACACACAGTCTCAGTGCAGTCCCTCTAGTGTCCACCAGTTGCTGCTGTACCTGGACTCACCTACGTGCTGCAGCACCTCCTGCAGGCTCCGCCGGGTCTCCTGGAGCTGCTGGAGGACCTTCAGGCTCTGCTGGACCGGGTCCCTGTAGCGCACACACACACACAGCAGGATACACAGTCCTACACACACCATGACCCTCCGCAACACACTCACATACACACTGAGCAGCTCCTACACACACACACACACACACACACACACACACACACACACACACACACACACACACACACACACACACACACACACACACACACACACACACACACACACACACACCATTGATTACTCATCAGTTATTAACTCATGATTGATTACTGATCGATCAACGTGGAACTGACCGCGTGTTGGTGTTCAAGATGAGAGGTCATCACAAACTGATAGATCTTCCTCTCCAGGTAGAAGTTCAGACACACCAACCCCAACAGCACCAACCTAATCAATCAATCAATCAATCAATCAATCAATCAATCAATCAATCCATCAATCCATAAATCCCATAACCGAATAAGGAGGTGAGGGGGAGGAGTTACCTGGCTCTGGAGGAGCGCTGTGTGGAGGTGAGGAAGAAGGAGGTGAAGAGAGCAGCAGCATTGTAGCAGCAGGAGCTCAGACTGTGCGCCTCCATCAGTAGGAAACTCTGCAGGAAGGAAACTCTGTTGAAGAGTTCAGACAGCGCCACCTGCTGCTCCCTGGAGACACTGCTGAGCTCTGAGAACACTGACCGCAGACCTGACAGACAGGTAGACAGACAATTAGACAGAGTAAATGAAGGTGTATTAACTGAGTTTGTCCACTAGAGGACAGAGAATATAAAAGGTGACTGTTTTACCCTGGGTGGAGTCTCTCAGGGTGACTCTTAGCTCCTCTCCATTGTTCAGGATCTCTTGTTGTGCCTGTAAGGCAGCACTCTGGGCGTCCATCAGGTCCTCAGCCATCTGCCTGGTGGACTGAAGCTGCTCAGCTACACCTGCTGAACTCTCAGTTAACCTGTAACACACAGTGTGCATTACCTGTGCATGGCGCGCGCTACCTGTGCATGGCGCGCGCTACCTGTGCATGGCGCGCGCTACCTGTGCATGGCGCGCGCTACCTGTGCATGGCGCGCGCTACCTGTGCATGGCGCGCGCTACCTGTGCATGGCGCTCTCCGCTCGGTTCTGCCAGGCCTCGGACTGCAGGAAGTGGCAGATGGAGTGGGTGTGGGTGAAGAACTCAGTAAAGGTGTTAAAGGCCACATCGTCCATCCCACCTGTACACCTGCTGACCTCTGACCCCTCAGGGCATGATGGGATATCCCTACCTGAGCTGACAGATTAAAAATGGGTGAGATTCTGCATTTATGAGTATTTATAGTTATACTTCATTACTTGCACTGTTCTCTCCTGAGCTGCTGTCTGAAGGACTGGACCAGGTCTTACCTGCTCAGGTGACACAGAGCGAATCCCAGAGCAATCCGGCTCTGGCTCTCTGATGTCAGGTCCCTGCAGCGCATGTCCAGCTCCTCCAAAGCTCGCGTCCAGCACTCTCCGTACCTGGGATGTGTGGCGAGGCTGCGAACACGCCTTAGCTCCATCCTGCCACGCTCAGAGTCCGGACCAGCGCTGGAGCAGAGGCCTGGACCCGCCGAGAGTCCGAGCAGCAGCCCCATGACCACCTGAGCGGACACCTGAGCCACCATCTTCACCTGCTCAGCGGTCACAGTGAGGTCAATGTTTCACCAGTAAAACCAGTTTGATGGAGGCTCCAGTGTATTTATAGATTTATTGATGTTTTCATCCCTTCAGCCAGCAGGTAGCAGCAGTGAATCATGGGATGTCTGAATAATACTGCAGTCAATGGTAACTTTAATCTGAGCTTATTAAGGTCAATAAAACTAGTTTGAGTTACTGAAATAAAGTAAAAAAGATTTTTTTATTAATTTTAGTTTGTTTCTAAGATAACCAAAATGAATAAAATTTAACAGAAAATGTCTTTAGTTTTAGTCAGTTTATTCAAATTCATCAACACCACAAGAGGAGGCGTTGGTTAATCCGTTCATTGAGACTGAGAGTCTGACTGAAAACATTTTTAACAATAAAAACTAAAATGAAAGCAGTAAAAACTCACTAAGATGAGCTCAGTTGAAACTACAGTCTGACTGCAGGAGAAGAATTTGAATAATAAGGATAATTCACACAGGTGATTTATATCTACAGGTTTCACATTACGCACTTTGTTTGATCTGAAATCTGTTCATCATTTTATTAATCTCACACAGTCGAACACTGGACACTTACACCAGCAATCTGCTTACATTCAGCCTTTGTTTCTTTGTCTTTGGGTTACCTGGTTGTTGGGGGACAGGTCCTTTCCTGTTGGAGCGAAAGGTGTGTCCAAGGGTGCAGGACTCTTAAATCCCGGAGCACCTCATTGGGACAAACCACTGTCTCATATGTCATGGGGGGGATTTGGGTTAAGTTGTAGTTGGCGTCCATTTTGTTTATCCGTTGTGTTATTTGGTTTAGCCAACCACGATTAATGTTCAGTTAACCCTTTGTTTAGTTGCTGTTTGAGTACAGTTATATTCTGTATGTTATAGGCCTGCTTATTAAATTCTTCACTATAAAAAAATCTGTAAGTTTACAGGGTTTTTATCTGTATTTTTTTTAAATACATGGAAATGTTAATACAATTATAAAATAGCCTGTGAATTTACACGTCTAATGTAAAATAACATGAATGGTAAATGGACTGTACTTACATAGTGCCTTTCTAGTCATTCGACCACTCAAAGCGCCGTCCACTACCACATTCACACACTGATGACACAGCAGTTTGGGGTTCAGTATCTTGCTCAAGGACACTTTGACATGCAGCAGGAGGAGCTGGGAATCAAACCAACAACCTTCTGATTAGTGGATGACCCGCTCTACCTCTTGAGACAGCTGCTGTGGTGTTGGCCTCCGAAAGGTGGAGGCACTACTTGGATGACCCAACACTTGTACCAGGCTGTGATGGACCAGGGAGAAGTCCTCTTGACAGATGACACAAAATACACCATTTTAGAGGATAAAATCTATTGAGTGTTACAACTGCCTCATAAAACCACCTACCAAATCCTCCATGGGAACTCCTTGGTTGGTCTTCTGGGCAGGTACAAGCCCTATAGAAGATTGCAGGCTCTGGTCTACTGGCCTTGGATCAACCTTGATGTCAAAAGTTTTGTGCAAAACTGTCACCGGTGTTTGAACAGAAAATGCTGCGACATTCTCACCGGAGGAAGAGGCTCAGTCTGTCCGTCAGCACGTCGTTTAGCCATCACTCTGGCCCCTCCATCATACTACTCCAGAGACTCTGCAGCGACGATCCGGCTTCCAGACTGTCCATTCCCCGGAGCTGTTTGCAGCACACTGCTGGCTAAGGAAGTAACTCCAGCGTCTGCCATAGAGTAGTTCAAAGATTGCCAAACCGAGTAAGAAGCTCACTCAGATTGGCTTTTGTGGCCACTAGGGTTTCAACTCCAATTGTGTTGGCGTCTTCTGGGTGCCCGGAGAGGAAATTTTGTGTTGAGAAAAGGACTCATGTTGAACTGAATGTTTTTGGGTTGGAGAAAGGATTATGATTGACTGTGGGTTTTATTGTTGCACTGATTGTATAATTCACTGAGGAGATTTAGAGTGGCTGTGTTGTGTTGCTTCCTATAATTTTGGTGTGTACGGCTAGTGCAAGGGGTTGGTGGTTCTGTTCCTTCCTTGGACCACTTTTGATAGGTACTGACCTCTGCAGACCGGGAACCCCCCACAAGAGCTGCAGGTTTGGAGATGTTCTGACCCAGTCGTCCATCACAATGTGGTTCTTGTCAAAGTGGCTCAGATCCTCACGCTGCACATTTTTCCTGCTTCTAACACATCAACTCTGTTCACTGTCTGCCTGATATATTATTATTTAATATGAGAATATTTCAATTAGTTTATTACACTGAACAATATAACAATAAATAATATAGTTTATTATTACCAAGAAGCTTTAAATGTGAGTATTACCTATTTTACAAATCTTCCTCCTGAGGCCAAACGACGTTGCAGTTATTTTAGTTATTGATTCATCTGCTGATTATTTTATAATCTTTAAATGGAAAATAGTGAAAAATGTCCAATGTGATGTTTTTTAATGTCTTTAAATGTCAAACATTGTTTAATTTAATATAAAACCGAAAACTCTGCCTCATATCTGAGGCTGTTTTTATGAAAAAAAAATATTTTGTGATTAATTGATTAACAAAGTAGTTTAGTTTTATTTTTCTGTCAATCAACTAATTGATTAGCCGACTAATTGTTGTAGCTTTATTTGACATGTTGGTGCCCCTCAGAGGACTCAATCATCAATGATACTGAACATAAAAACCTTTATGAAGAAAGCAATTTCTAACATACTCACCTGTGATCAATAAAGATACAGTGTATTCTGATCAATATGATCAATAATCTGTATTGATCATATTGATCAGAATACACTGTATCTTTATGGATGATATTGATCAGTATACACTGTATCTTTATGGATTATATTGATCAGTATACACTGTATCTTTATGGATGATATTGATCAGTATACACTGTATCTTTATGGATGATATTGATCAGTATACACTGTATCTTTATGGATTATATTGATCAGTATACACTGTATCTTTATGGATTATATTGATCAGTATACACTGTATCTTTATTGATGATATTGATCAGTATACACTGTATCTTTATGGATCATATTGATCAGTATACACTGTATCTTTATGGATGATATTGATCAGTATACACTGTATCTTTATGGATTATATTGATCAGTATACACTGTATCTTTATGGATGATATTGATCAGTATACACTGTATCTTTATGGATGATACTGATTAGAAACAGTCTGATAAGGTTGTCTGACAGTATTAGTTTGATTAATGCTTTAATAATGGGAGTATTGATTACTGATTATCAGTTTCTAATGGCATTATGCTGCAAATGGTTCCCCTTTGTGTCACTGACTGCTGAAAGAACAAAACCCAATGAAATATTTTTATATATAATTGATCAATAAACTGAACTTTATAGTCAAAGAGCAGCTGTATTGACATTTCAGGTGCTCATTAAATAAACATTTCTTTCACTGTTTATAAAGCTAATGCCGGCTGCAGTACTGCTACACAACCAGCAGGGAGAACCACTGACGTCAGGTTAGACTTCAGAGAAGATCATTTCCATTTCCTCAAAGTTTTATCAATAACTAAAGATACTCAGATTTCTGTTCAAGATCAAAATTGATCTTATTTTATGAAGCAGAACTGTTGAGTACAAAGTCTAATGTTGAGTCTGGGTCTCCAGGTCTTACACTGACTGATGCTAAGCTGCATATGTTGGAGAATTTGCATTGTTAGCATTAATAATCAGCTATATGGACGATATATGGAGGTGTTTTGTGTCCATATTTCAGCTCCCAGTGGGCTGACTATGATTCAGTTTGAGGTTATTCATATGATCAATACATCGCTGCATTATTGAATCAATAAAGCTCAGTGTGTGAATGTTTACACAGAATATTTCTTCACATTTCTTCTGTTGTGTATCATTTTGTCACTGATCGTCTGTGCCGCTGTTATATATTAATCATATAAATAAACTTTAAATTAATCAAAATCAGCCCACTGGGAGTTTAAATATGGACACAAAACTCACATTGTCCAAATCAGCTGCTGAGATACCCTCCATATGGATGATTATTAATGCTAATGATGCTAACTGTCCAACATATGCAGCTTAGCATTAGTCAGTGTAACAGCTGGAGACCCAGACTGAATGTTTCTAACATTAAACTCTGTACTCAACAGTTCTGCGTCACAATTAGCTGACAAATAGTGAGACCTCTGGTTTCTGCCTTTAAACACCTGATGGTGAAAGCTCTTCATCCTCTGGATGTGTGTGTGTGTGTGTGTGTGTGTGTGTGTGTGTGTGTGTGAGAGAGAGAGCTACAATCAGTCAGACGACCACAGATCAGGGGACAACAAACGCTTTTAGTTAGAAAGAAAAATAAGAAAACAGGTAAAAACTAGTTTTGTCTACAGCGACAGTGTATTGGAGTTTCCACTGAATTCCAACCAGTAAAAGCAGAATATTCATCCTCAATATTAGCAACTATGAAGTCACCACACACATCACTACTAAGTCTAGAAACACAACATGGCTTGGCTGACATGGTGGCTTCTGGCAAGACGCACAATATTATAGGCACTAAACTCTGGAACATGCAATATGGTGGCTGGTTACTGTAGTTTGTGCCGGTCGAGTCCTGTGGAGTGAGTCCGTTCACAGAGGGACATTTGATTTCTGCAGCTGCGTGAGAGACAGCATGCTAACGTGGTCTGAGCAGACTGGGCGGCAGGCGGAGCGCCAGGTACGCAGCGGTGAGGCTTCAGCCTCAGGTAGATACAAACAACATCACCTGCATGAGGTCACAACAAAGACACCGGGGTGTCAGGTGAGTGGACGAGGCACGTTAATTTAATCCAGGATGAAGACATTCATGTTTTTCTGCTCAGGGGGTGAAAAGCTCAATTTCCCAACGTCTGTCCTAAAGTGCTGGAGCTTCCCCGAACAGTCATGTGACCACTAAGGTGCAAAGAGTTCAGATATACGGAGAGAGCGTCAACATTCAACCTGCATCTGGAAGTTCAGGTGTGAGAGCTCACAGAGAGATTCATCATCAAACTGTTGAATCATCAGAACTAAAGATCAATAATGATTATTAGTCCCTCCAGGATCTCACTTCTTTTTATGGCCTAAAATGTCTCATTTCAGGTCAGATTTTCAGGAGACAGTGAAAACTGCAAAAATAATTCATTAAAAATCAAAGGCAACTTGTTCCAGTGAGCAGCAATGATCTGGCCCTCACAGTCAGTGCAAGTCGGGGCGTGCTGCAGTCGCGTTATGCGCCAGCACATCACGTAGAGACCACGTTGTGAGAATTTCACATAAATCAGATGATGATCGCCACATCGATCTGTTTCCATTAGGTACCGCTATGACTATGACTAAATATTAGCACATAGATGTGTTCAGGGCGGGACTCTTATCAGACACGTAATGTTTGGTGCAAATTGGAGAATGTACATGTAAGTTACAAAAACTTCCTGTTTAGTGGCAAAACGTTGATTGCCACAGACTCTCGTTAAAGTGTACTGATTACACAGAAACTGAAGCTTTTGATTTTCCGTCTTTAGAGTGTATTGATCAAATTTAAAGTCAACATGATACCAGGGCGGGGCCCGAATGAGCCACAGAACCGGAGCGGGGCGGACTGACGGAGGGCAGCTGATGTCCAGCGGCTCCGACCAGGACTCTGACTCTGGGGATGAAGACTCGGCGGGTTCAGGCAGCGACAGGAGAGGAATGAAACGGAGGAAGAGGAGCCAGTTTGTAGCTAGTTAATTAGTAAGTAACTGTTAATGTTATCCATCATCCATCGTATCGATCAGTCTGATCAGTTTCAGTGAAGTTGGGAGTTATTGAACAACCAGACTGTGTGATGTTACACTGTGTTACTGCTTGTTCTGATTCACAATCATTACTGCTGGTTAACAGGTTCTAATCAATACAGTGATATCAGAAACATGATGACTAGTCCACTATTGGCTTTATCTCACGAACTGCTAGTTGACTAGAAAAATCTTAAATTGGGGCTGCTAACTTCCTGTTTAGCCTTCTGCTAGCATGATAAACGGATAAACGGAATTAGTGGAGCAGCTCTTGTAGACCATTCTGACCAAATACTTTGGGAAGGAATAGATCAGACTCTGATAGTGAAAATCATTTCATTCGTTTTACAGCTGCTTGTCTTGGTCGCTGTGTATTAAGTGACCGATGCCACTGCTGTAATTACACGGTTTGACCATTATGTCAGATTGGCTTCTTTTATTTTCATGTTGAGTTTTTCAGTCTTCAGTTCCTCCTCTTACTCTCTCTGTTCGTGCTCTCAAATCTAGACTTCCAGATTTCTGCTCACTGAAGAGTTTTGTGTTGCCGTCTCAACACATCTGACTCCACCTGAAGCTGAATCGGACCGGGTTCAGGGACAAGGCCGACCTCTGCGTACGTGCTGCTCCGGTTGAAGGCCTGCAGGGTCTCCGAGCGACATGCAGGCGGTTGATTGTACAAACTGGAGGAGTGCAAACTGTTCCAGACATTCAACACGAAGACACGATAAAAATGACTCCATTTCCCACTCTTTCATTAAGACTAAAAACTAAAATAAAGCTACTGTAAAGGTGGGTTTGGTTTGATATTAAAAGCGCTTCCTTTGGAAACAAAAAGACTACCAAACAGATTCAATGAAGACCAGTATGGAAGAATCTCTAACTGGAAGAACAACTCGCTGCGTTTGAAACACTTGAGGAGCTCTCAAGGTTTTTCATCTGTCCGATAGGTAGACTCAAGAACTCCTCAAGTCGTCCAAATATTTAAAACGATGATGACAGAATGAGTTCTGTGTAGAGTCAGACTCATACATCAGATTCGCTACCTGTAGGGGGCAGTCTGGAAGTGGATGGAAAACATTACTGACCCCCTCTTTGTGGCCTTAAAGCAACATTATGTAACTTTAGAGTAACAGACTCCTGGTGATGTTCCACTGACTGTAACGGGGTGAATGGTTCCTCTGTTCTCCTGTTCCTGCACTGTGGTCTTTGGTCGGGACAAGTGCATAACGCTTTAAAGTCAACCACCACCAACAACTGTGATTTTGGTGAAACTGGATCATACTTGGAGACAATGTTTTCTGGTGAGTTTCCTGATGGACAGTAAAGAAAAAGCCATTGCACACCAAGTCCGTATTTTTCGACCAAAATTGTGGCACGTTTAAATCAAATATGACCTCAGATTGTGTCAATCATGTTTACACCCCTACTCTGAAACAAAGTTATTTTAAGTACTGGGGTACCACTGTGTGTCACCAGGATCATTCCCATGCTTCCTGTTCATTGTTAATTTGCACATCAACACGAGCGCGAGGCTGTTTGTATCAGAAGTGCAAGTGATTCTGCTCCTCTGCTCATTTGTAATCACACGTATAGCTGATCTTTAGAATGACCTCATGAATTGTGTCCATGGCTCAGCGGGGTGTTGCTTCTTTTGCAACAATGAAAGGATCTGCAGTGAAGGGCTTCATCCTACTGAGTCTGATCTGTGACACATAATGTATGATACAGCTCAATCAGGCTTTAAGATCAAATTAAAATATAATGTATCCTTTTTAGTTTTTCGGCTCAAGCAGTTGAGTGTGAAGCGATTTTGAGCGGAGCGGCCAGAGAGGCTTTGAATGGGAAAGCAGAGTGAACAAACAGCTCCATGAGCGAGGAAATCTGAAATTCTCACCGCTCACGTGATCTGGTGGAGGAACAGAGACAAAGAGACAGCAGGAGCAGACAGCTCCTTTATCAGCAGGTCAAACTCTCCTTGTTCTTGACACCTTGGACCCAATTACTTTTTCTTATTCTACTTTCAGTGCGAGGACCACAAAATCATCCTCACTAAGTGACTACGCCATCTCATATTGTGAATTTCAGTATGCAAGGTTTCTATGATGATTTTAATCGGATGATGGATTTAAAAATCAAATACGAAGAATTTTGACTTGATGTGCAAAGACCTTAACTGCTGCTTAATGTAGCTGCTGTTAGCTTAGCCATACTGCTGCCTTAAGCACTGGGGGAGTGTTGGTGTTCACACTGGTAGCACAGGAGCTTTGGACCACCTGGAGGAGGAAGTTTTCAGGGAATGCTGACAGAGAGCGGCACCGGCGTAGTGCCGAACCAGAGCGAGACGAGGAGGCAATGTAACCAGGCTCAGCAGCTTCTATGGACAGAGCTAATGCCAGAGGCTCAGGAAGCTCAGAAGAGAAAAGGAGAGAGTAAATGTGGGACTGTCTGTTAGTGGTTGGATAAAGAGAGCTTGGTCTGCAGACAGACGACGAGCTGGTCATCTTGCTGTTGGAGTAGTCAGTAATGTTAGTTAGAATTATTCACCTTGTTGTTGTTTGGCTGTTAGCAAAGTTACAAATACCAAAAATACCTCTTACATAATGTTGCTTTAAAGATAAATGGGGAGGAAATAAAACGGTGAGATTTCTAAGAAACCAGTTAAAGGTGCAGACCGCCACATCACCTCTGAGTGCTTTCAGTCGAGGGCTAGTTTCAGTAAGGGACTGTCAGTCAACGAGGAGTTTTAGAGAGAGCAGGACTTTAAATAAGAGACTGTAAGTCAGCAGCACAACGATGAGTAAGGGACTGTCAGTCAATAATATCAGAGTTTAAAGCTGTATAACGGAGACAAAAACAAACTATCAAAATACCAAATAAAAAAAAAAGAGGTTATATTCCGGAAGCAACGTTTCGTTCAGAGTAATGTGTTGTTAAGCGTTTAGTTCCAAACTACTCCCCCCCTCCCCACGGAGACTAGCGGGACACAACAGCTGCCTTTTGATTATATATACACACACACTTGTTTATCGGTTTTTCCTCTTTGTTTGTTTTTCCTAGAAAAAGACTCTATCCGTCCTCCAGCTGTCCATCAGCGCCCAGTTGGTTCTCAAATCCAGAACTTTACAGAGTCTCCAGACGGAGCCAGCTCTGTGTGACGCTATTCTTCACAGCCCAGTCTCAGTCCTCCTCCACCTGGTGCTGACTCAGTCCGTCAGTCTACCGACCAATCAGCTGTTCGTCAGCCCGACCAATCAGCTGACTCGTTCACTGACGACAGTCCGTGACTCTACAGTCTCCTCTCGGCTGGGGCAGGGGACGGCGGACTGGGGGACGATGTCTCTGAGCTCCCTGCCCTCACCTGCTGCCTCTGGCTCTGCCCGAAGCCTAGCCCTACCGTCTGCCCCGGGGACCAGGCCGACCCCGGACCCGGCTACTCCTGGAGATCCAGGAGGCCTCGAGGTGCTGTTTGACCCTCCTGACTCTGTGATTGGCTCCGCCCTCCCCTCCGCCCTGACACCCTCCACGCCGACCTCTCGGCTTGGCAGCAGGCTCCCCCGGCCAGGCCGCGTGGTGCTAAGGTCTTGGGGCTGTTCGCTCTGGTTCTGCTGAGCAGGGACCAGGTTGGTCCTGGACAGACTGGGAGGTGGTCGGTGGGATGAAAGGTGCTGCAGGTGGGGCCTGGCGGGCTGAGGGTGGGGCTGGGATTGGGTGCGCAGCTGTGTTTGAATTCGCTGAAAGTGGGGTTGTGCTTGGGACTGGGACTGGGATGGCCTAGGTTGGGAGAGAGATTGTCTGGGTTGTGGTCTGTATTGAGACTGGTGTTGCGATGTGTGCCTCGTCTGCTGTTGGGGCTGCGCTTGATGTCTGGGTTGTAGGTGAGGCTGAGGCTGGGCCGGGGTTCTTGACTGGGGTTGTGGCTGCGTTTGGGCTGAGGTCCTGGACTGAGGTTGAATTTGGGAAGGGGTTCTGGACTGGGTTTGAGGCTGCATTTGGGCTGGGGTTCTGGGCTGCAGTTGAGGCTGAGGTTGGGCTGCGATTCTGGACTGGGATTGAGTCTGAAGTTGGGTTGGGGTCCTGGTTTGGGGTTGGAGTTGAGGCTGCAGTGACTGCCGGGTCTGAGATTGTTGTTTGAGGTGGGTTTGGGGTTGAGACAGGTGTCTGGTCTGGGGTTGAGGTTGGTGTGCTGTGGGGGACTGGGTTTGCGGATGTGGGTGTGGATGAATGTGCAGGATGGATGTGGACTGAGTCTGAAGCTGGGTCCGGTGCTGGGCTGGCTGTGACTGGGTTTTTTGGGGGGAGGGCTGGGACTGACTGTGGGTTTGAGGTGGGGGTTGTTGGGGCCGGGACGGGGGCGAGACGTGCCTGGTAGGGGAGGGTTGGGGTGCAGGGTACCGGGGTTGGGACTGGCTGGGAGACTGGGGATGCTGCTGGGACCGGGGTTGGGGTTGGGACTGACTGGGAGACTGGGAATGCTGCTGGGACCGGGGTTGGGATTGGGGTTGGGACTGACTTGGAGACTGGGGATGCTGCTGGGACCGGGGTTGGGGTTGGGACTGACTGGGAGACTGGGAACGCTGTTGGGACCGGGGTTGGGGTTGGGACTGACTGGGAAGCTGGGGATGCTGCTGGGACCGGGGTTGGGATTGGGACTGACTGGGAGACTGGGAATGCTGCTGGGACCGGGGTTGGGGTTGGGACTGACTGGGAGACTGGGAATGCTGCTGGGACCGGGGTTGGGGTTGGGGTTGGGGTTGGGACTGACTGGGAGGCTGGGGATGCTGCTGGGACCGGGGTTGGGGTTGGGACTGACTGGGAGGCTGGGGATGCTGCTGGGACCGGGGTTGGGGTTGGTGGCGGGACTGAGGAGGAGATCGAGGTTCAGGAAGAGACTGCGGTCTGTGGGAAGCCTGCTGGGAAGTGAGCTGAGGGACGGTCCGGGGCTCGTCTTCAGGTCTGGACTGGCTGGAGGGAGCTGGAGGAGGAGGAGGAGCAGGAAGATCCAGGGTGGAGGAATGTTGGTGGCGGTGATGATGATGGTGGTGGTGGTGATGATGGTGGTGTTTATGGGGGAGTCGCTCCTTCCTTTTGTGGCTCTTTGAGGAACTGATGCTACTGCTGCTGCTGCTACTCCTTCCTCCTCCTTCTCCTCCTACATCTTCATCCCTTTCCTCACCTCTTCCTCCTCCGTCTCCTGCCGCTATCCCTGTTTTCTCCTTGTGCTTCCTCCCTTTATGCGCCTTGTGTCCGTGTGATTCATCTGAGGCAGTTTGTGATTGGCTCTGCTCAGAGGGGGCGGGCTGAGGCTCTGAGGTCGGCGCTCCCTGTCCTTTACCTCCTTCCTCCTCCTCTGCAGCGACCCCTCTCTCAGTCTCAGCACTAGAGGCCGCTGGAGTCTGAACGCTCTCCCTCTCCTCCACTGTTTCTCTCGTTTTGCGTTTTTTAATTGGCAGGGCCGTTTCCTGGACGACAGGTTTGGTGGAAGACTCCTTGGCCGCTCTCCGTTTGGCCTCCGCAGCTAAAATGGCGGCCGCTGCATAACTCCCGGCCACCGAGCCTCCGGAGGTTGATGCAGAGGAGGTGGATGCTGTGGCGACCGCTGAAGCTGCTAATGCCGAGGTTGGCTTCCTTCCCCGTTTCTTAGGGGTGGTTTGTGGTGGGGCAGGAGGTTCCTGTTCTGACTTCCTCTTTCTGCCGGGACGGGACTTGGGCACAAGAGCAGAAGACACCGCCTGCAGGGAATAGACAGGTTTTATTAGCATCAACATAGCATTATGTTAGGTAGCGCTAACTGTAGGTAACCATAAGGTCACTAGCTTCTCTCAGACAGTAAATCCAGTGTTCAGAGACAGACATAAAACACTGCTCAGGTTCAGATTGGATCCTCTTCCAGTTTTCCATCATTACCCACAAGTCCCACAGCAAACGCCCTTGCCTTTACAGGACCCCTTAAAGGCATACTATGCAGTTTTCTGGTTTTGTCAAACAGCTACCCCTAGAGTCGCTGCAGAGAACTTGTATTTAACGTTAACTGTCGTAAATACCACTCACCAGAGCCGTCTCTATATACGGCTCTGCGTCTCTGCACTCACGGCCTGATACCCTCCCCCCTGTATACAGGTACATGTTCAGTAGGATGGAAGCGTCGGACATCGAACAGGCAAAGATAGACTCCGAAGATGTCTACTGACCAGGTAACGTCTGAGTGAATGCCTGCTAGTGTCTTCCAATGAGGCTGCTTCTTATGTTGCTGATGTATGTGACGTCGCGCCGTAAAAAGCAATTTGTGTTTCTTGCGAGATTTGGTGGGGTGCCACCTTTCAGACTTGCATTGCTGGTTCTGCCAACGGCGTCCCTCTCCAGTGTTTCTATCGGGATGATTCGCTATACTAAGAGTTTGTTTACCATCGAAATGACTTCGAAGCTGTTATATTATGGTAAAAATCTTGCATAGTGTGCCTTTAACCTGTCTGTAGGTACTGAGTCTACATGATAACTGCTTGATTCCACGTGCATGCCCACACTGCCCATCAAGACTACCGCCAAAACAAGAAGTTGCTTTGTAAATATTGTTATCCACTTGTGCTAAATAAATAAACAAAAACTGCTCGATTCCACCGGCGATGGCTATGGCGCGTCCCAGTTGCAACACAGCTGCTCGAGCCAATAACAGCCGTTCCAAACTATACGTGTAATTCCACCAGAAGTGCCATTGCGCGTTTAAATAGAGAATCTGGTCAATTATCAAAACTAAATAGGGTTGCCCCCTCACAGTGGACTTAACTGTTAGTTGATGAGAAAAGTCTTATTCCATCAGTCTGATAGTCGCGGTAAAACAAAACCAAATTCATTCAAGAGCTGCGACTTGTCACTGGGACCAAAGTATCAGAGCACTGTTGCAACACAGACCTTTTCTCTCGTAACACAGGAAGTCTCTTACCGCTGCACTGTTGTATGTTTGGTCCTACTAGCTGACTGGGAGCTTGAAGGACAGGGGGAAGTTTGTTTACTAGTGTAGGAGCAGGGAGAGTGTGTTTGTGTCAGAGCTGGAAAACGGGACTAATTATTCCTCCAATATCTGAAACAACCAACACAACATTTAACCTTTGCAAAACTGATGCAACCGAACAGATAAACATCGCCCACTTATATACCGGTGAATACCAGCCAACTTATTTGCCGAGGTCAGTCAACAAGGTGAATATCTATCTATTTTCGACGGAAGCCGAAAGGAAGTCAGACACAGGAGGTCATTAAGAAGCCCGTCAATTTTCTAAATAAATCACTCAGACTGTAGACTCTGGATAAAAGAAAATGACACTGAGGAGACGAGCTGCCGTCGTAGCGAGAGGGTCTAGGGTCTTTGTAAGGCTCAAGCTGTCAGACACTATTTTTTTTTTTTTTTTTACATTTTTGACAATAATACTGAAGTTACAGAGCTCAGGACGAATACAGGACAGAGGTCAGTGCTGTAGATAAAGGGCGTAGGTCAGTGCTATAGATACAGGGCAGAGATCAGTGCTGTAGACACAGGGTGTAGGTCAGTGCTGTAGATACAGGGCAGAGGTCAGCACTGTAGAAACAGGGCAGAGGTCCAATCTATTTGATTCATATAATAGTAACGATGATATTAATACTTTATTTCATGTTTTAGTCAAGTCCAATAATTTGACAATAATTGTGTGACTCTTTTTTTTTGGGTTATTATTCTTTTTCGTTTTATATAAATTTTTTGGACAGTTATCTCCTGAACACATTATTTAGTTATGACTGATTTTGGGTGATATCTTCAGACGTGAATCAAAAACACTTCCTGCTTGGGAATCTTTCAGACGCATTTTCTTCAGGAAATACAAATATTCTAGATCACATATACATCTTCTGACGTTAGTATTTATGTGTGAAAACATCTGCAACTGCAGGTGAGAGGTCAGTTTTCAGAGAGCTCCACGCTGTCACACTGAGTTTTGTCTCCCATGGTTCCTGGGCCAGGAACTGGAGGACGTTGCTAAAGAAAAGTTGTTTTTCAGAGGACTGAAACTCAAACCTTTGAGGCAGTGGATGTGGTGCCTGTGGAGGACTCTGCCTTGCCAAAGGGCATCTTGACCAGCAGTTTGCCCGGAGTTTTCTCAACCACGCGCTTCATGGCCACGCCCTCTGTAGCCTGCCGCATCTTCCCACTGCCTACACAAAAAAGACACGAGAAGAAACATTTGTGAAATCTGTGAACTGTTCAATAACTCCAGTTGAACTTTTAGTATAAGAGTACCTTTGGGCCGCCCACGGCCTCGCCCCGATGGTTTCACCACCTTTGGTTTCTTAGGCGGACGCCTCTCGCGGCGGGAGGGGCTTCCACGTCCAGTGACAGTGAAATCAAAGTCGTTGGGATCGGTGGTCGTGTCACCAACCTTCTGGAAGTAGGCAATGAGTTCCACTTTGGAACGGAACGCCTTTCCCTCCGAGCTGAACAATAACATAAGAACAACCGTCATCACCACCTCGTCATCCATGACTGCCAAGGCATCAGTGGTGGGTGTGGCTTACTTGATCAGGTAGACATCGAACTTCCCCGCCGAGCGACCGGATTTCCTCTGTTTGAGTTTGCGGGTCCAGCCTTCAGGCAGCGATGGGTCGTCGTACAGCGGCCCGCGGTCCCGGATGATGGAGCGCCGCTGCCTGGGAGAACCTGCAGACTCGCTGCCGGCTGCCGACTCAGACCCCGGCTCCTCTGAGGGGCCTGCCACCGGCTCCGACACCTGCAGGAAGGAAGTGACGTGAAACCAGCTCCTTATCCCCAACACCTTTATATTATATTGATTACATTATTGTCTCTGTTAGTAATGGTTGTGGCATATGTTACCTTTCCAGACCTCCAGTTTAAAATACTTTTAATTGATTTTAGTGTCGTAGCTGCTAACTAGCTTTCACTGTCCGGACAAACTCTGCTGTGAAGAATGCAGGAAGACGCCAGAGTAACGTTGCATGCTTGCTTTTAGACCAGATACAGATTCAGAGAACTCGCTGACACCTGAAATATCTGGTTGTGTCGGGGAGCCAAACAACAGAATACACTATCTTTATGGATGATATCGATCAGTATACACTGTATCTGTATCTGGATTATTGATCAGTATACACTATCTTTATTGATAATTGATCAGTATACACTGTATCTTTATGAATGATATTGATCAGTATACACTATCTTTATTGATAATTGATCAGTATACACTGTATCTTTATGGATGATATTGATCCTGTATTGACAGTCAGACTGTGGACATATGACGGCCTTTAGCTCGTGTTTCTAGAGTTACGTGTTGTTACGAACACGTTAGGAATTGTTAAAATGTGATATTTCTTAAAGGGAGTTTGGTGCAGGGAGCTTTTAGTTGGATTCAAACTGCTGATATGGATCATTGTTAACGTTTAGTCTCCACTACAGAAACACTAGCTAACTGCTAATAATGGAAGTATTGATTACTGATCAATCTTGTAGTGTGTGATCCCTGTTGCTCAAAACCACCAGATTACAGACAGGAAGTTGTGTACTGGGACCTGTTCTGGTTGATCTGTCTTTACCTGTGTCTGTGGCTCCGCCCCCATCTGTGGCTGCAGAGTGGCTGTCGGGGGCGTGTCTGCGGCTGTGGTCTCCGACCCCCGGTCGGCATGACGACGCTCCCGACGGGCCTTCTTGGTCTTACTGTGGGACCTGTCTCTCTCTCTGGCAGGGGGCCGGGGGTCAACGGGTCCCTCCTCACCCTCTTGCCCCTCCTCCCTGTAGAAAGGAGATGACATCATTACTCAACCACGCCCCAACTCAAGCTGTGATTGGTCAGTTTCTCTTCTCTCTCTTTACACAAACAATTTTGTCCCGAGACATCAGACATTAAAGAGTACGTTAGCACAAACTGGAACCACCTCTCTGTCTTTGAGATATATTGTTGCCTTTATTTGATAGTGACAGTAGAGAAACAGAGGGGGATTAATGGAACAAAGTCTCAGCTGGAATCAAACCAGGGACGTTGTGATTATGTGGTGTTCTTCTTGTGACAGACGGACAGCACGGGAAAATGTCAACCAAGGCGAATATCATCCGATATATTGGTGCATCCCCATGGACACACCAAAGTGCATTTCAGAAGCATCCTATAGGCGGCTCTCCACTTCACTGTAATATTTTTGACGAAAGCCAAAAGGAAGTCAGACACAGGAACAACATAGAGAATCCTGTCAATTTTCTAAATAAAACACCTTGTGCAGACACTGAGAAGACGAGCTATCGTTGTGACGAGAGGGTCCGGGTCTTTGTCAGGCTGAAGCTGTCAGTGTTCCGACCATTTTTTTTTACATTTTTAACAATAATATCAAAGTTACAGAGGTCAGTGCTGTAGATACAGGACAGAGGTCAGTGCGGTAGATACAGGGCTTAGGTCAGTGCTGTAGACAGACAAAGAGAAACAGACAGAAAGCGTAAGGGGGATTAATGCAACAAAGTCCTCACTGGAATCGAACCGGGGACGTAGGCGTGCTTGTTGTACTGCATTCTGCCACTTAAAGGGAAGGTTTATTGATATTATTGATCTGTTATTATGAAGCTCAGACTGATTTTGTGCTCTTTATTTTGATATTATAATTATTATTATAAATTAAAATGATTGCTGAGCTCTGAAGTGTTGAGGCGTCCCTGAACGCACCAACAGTAAGTTGTTACAGGTGGCCGACTGAAACAGATCCAGGTTTCAGTCTCTGACTGTGTCTGAAACCAGCAGCATCACTTCCTGTTTACAACCACCTGCGGCCGTAAACAGGAAGTGATGTTTCAATAATAAAAAACAATAATTAAATATATAATATATATAAATAAATTAGATATTTTTTGTTTATTGTTGTTTTTGATGGATTTTATTTTATTCTGATCATTTCCGTCATTGATTAATCGATCTGCGGTTCATTTGTGGACTATTAATTGATTACAGGAGGTTTCTGATATAATATAATCAGCTGTTCAGTGACATCACTGAAACAATCAGTCCATTGATAATTCATAAACAATCAATTATCAAACAAAAATATTGACTTCCAATATGTGTTTATTGTTTGTTAAACCAAATGTGAAGACAAATAATCAATACATAAGTCAGGTTGAATCTGATTATTAGTTATTGATCCATTTGACACAGATCAATCACAAACACTAGACATTGTTTTGGCAGTGAAACTGGAGGAAGTGATTTATATAATTCAGAAAAATAAAATCAACTAAAATCTTCGCCTGGAAACCAGGAAGTGACTTTGGATCACACGAGGAAACTACAAAGTAAAACAAATAATAAAGTTTATAAAGAACACTTCTCCCTCGGGGCCCCTCGCGTTCACCTCGGGCCCCTCGCGTTCACCTCGGGCCCCTCGCGTTCACCTCGGGCCCCTACGTTCACCGTGTGGCCCCTCGCGTTCACCTCGGGCCCCTCGCGTTCACCGTGTGGCCCCTGGTCGGGGTCTCGACCCTCAGGTTGGACCCCCCCGCGTGTGTGTGTGTGTGTGTGTGTGTGTGAAGAAGCTGCAGGTGGAGGTGAAGCAGCAGGAACAGGAAGTGACCCCCACCCTCCATATAAAGAGTGTCCTGTACACACACAGTCACAGGTTCGACTCCAGCCTGAAACACACACAGCTGCCTGGCTCAGCGGCACTGGGGTAGCTTCCTGCTAATGAGGGTAATAATCTGATTACCCTAGCTGCCGGAGGGGGCGGGTATACCGGGGGGAGGGGGGGTAACCCGGGTTATTTCTGATATAAACACTCTCTGTTTGCTAACAAGCTAGCAGCCTGTTAGCTTCCTGGCTGTCTGACGGAGGCGGGTGGACACACCGCCGCTGCCCGGGGCTGTGGTGTTACTGACGGTCACACCGCCGCCGACCCCCGGCCTCACTTCCCCGGTAGTTGTGTGGAAGTCAGGGCGGCCCGGCGGCGCACTGAGAGCGGGCTAAAGCTAAAGCCGCCGACCGCCCGTCCGCTCCGGCTACAGCAGCTAAAGTACACACTTAGCAGTAAGTTGGTGACGTATTCCCGCTAACCCCGCTCCGCCGAGACAGGCCGGGGTAAAAACCAACGCACTTTTACTTCAATAAAACACACGACGGAAAACAGTCGGCGGCGGTCGGAGGCGGCGGCAGCGGCGGCGCTTTAACGGAGGATAAAATGTAAAAACCCACTTACAGTCTCTCCTCTCCGCTCTCCACGGCGGCCATTTTTATTTAAATAAATAATTTTATATTAAAAAAAAGCCTCCAAACATCTCTGCTCCCTCCTGCTGCACCCCGCCCCCTCCGACTCCATTTCCAACCGCCGTCAGCGAGCAAACACCGCGAGACCTGAGCCGAGAGGCGCTCAGCGCAGCGCAGGGGCGGCGTAATCCCGCGAGAAGTGAACTCTCATCGGTCAGCTTGAGACGTTCAATGAAGCTCTGTAAAAACAATAATCTATTTTTCACACAGAAAAGCCTAGTTTGAGCAATAATAATTAAAGATTAAACAACAGAGTCAATATGGGCTCATCCATACACGACAACATTCAAATCATTAAAATATGATCAAATAAAATAAAATATAAATAAAAAATAAAATATCAAAATAAAGCGAAAATTCTCAAATAAAACGAGATAAAAACAATAAAATATCAAAACAAATACGTAGAAAAGTAACAGCAAATACATTAAAAATCTAAATGTACACAAAATAGACATTTACAATATATATCAAAAACAGGCTATAGAACTTGTGGGAAAGTATTACAATAGTAAGTACACAATATTTTAATATATTTTAAAAAATATATACACAGCAGTAATTTAGCAAAGAATATCAGCGAGACAGGGCTCTGAATATACAGCACAGGTCTAAAGACTAATGTGCATGCAGTGATGTTTATATATGTGTGTGTAAAAACTTTACAGTGCTGGTATCAAGTAGTCTGACAGCCTCTCTGTGGTTTGTTTCCATAGCCCGTCTGCTCCGACTGAAAGAATGAAGGATTTATTTCCACCGAAGCAGAGTTTTTGTTGGAAACACTAACAGAGACGCTTTAATGAGTTTTATTCTGTTTGTGTTCAGGCTGAAGTGTGTCTTACCATTATCTGCTAAAATTAGTGTTTTTTTCAATGGAGTCTGGTGGGACAGAAGCCAGAACTTACTGGAAGGTTTATATATGTCAGAAATGTCCTCTCAGTGTCCCCGTAGTAAGATAACGGTACGTACACACACACGTACACACACACACACACACACACACACACACAAGTGAACCAACGGTGCGTTCAGGCGCTCCTCAACCACAGTGGAACTGTGAGTGTGTTTGTGTACGTGGGGGGTGACACACACTCATTTGTTTGTGTGTGTTTGTATGTGATGTCAGATTACTGTAAGAACTTCATGCTTGCCGTAGTTCAAACAGGGAAATGAATCAGTGGAGTGGAGAGAACACTTCCTTTAACAAAATAAAAGCACACAGTTTTAAAATCAGAATGAAAACTGTGTTATTGTTTCTAAAACCCAAAGCTTTATTATTATTATTATTAGTAGTAGTAGTAGTAGGAGTATTATTGTTATTATTGTTGTTGTTTTCATTTATTTTATTAGATTATTTTACTTTTATATAGATCTTTTTATTTTGCCTTTTATAACTTCTATAAGAAAAAACACAATTAAGTTGTTTCATGATTTTATAAGAGGAACAAACAGCTGGCTGTCTAATAAAGAAATAATTATATGTATCATCCTGCAGTGTGAATGTTTTAGATGAGTCGTCTAATAATTCAAAGGGATTAATAATCTTCAGCTGTCATAAATAATAATAAAAACAATATTATACAGAAAGATCAGATAAGATGTTCCTTTATTGACCGTCCGTAGTTTAAATTGAAGTTGGCACAGCAGCACAGTGTCGTCTTTACAAAGGGTAAATAAAACAGAATCAAAGAGAATCAAATCTAATGATGAAATATATACACTATATAAAATAAAATATTACAGTAGAAGGTGTTGTTGTCCTGTTTGTCTGTGTGTTGTTGTTCTCTTTGTTTATTTTCTTTCAGTTTTTAGTAATAAAATCCTGAAATAACCTTTAATTGGTGAGTTCCTGGTTGCATGCTTTTATTCTGGAGTGCTGCCGACCGGACGCGGCTCTTATTGCAGT